CAGATTGCATTTGTCTCCTGAGGGGCCTTCCTGAATCCAGGACCACATCTCTCAGTGCAGAGAGACTGAGGAGTCTGAGGAAATCCAGATGACTGTTAATGATTATTCATCCTTTTTACCCATCATCCCAAACACCCCAGTGCTTGAAAGAAAAAGGCCACTAAGCAGCAGCATCTCTACGTACATACAGCCAAGACATCAGATGGATCTTCTTACAGTTTCATGTAAGATGATTGTAAGACCATGTGGGATCTTGAACCCCAGCCCTTCATATTCTCATGAAGTGATGGGAGCCTTTGAGAAGTGGAGCTTAATTGTAGGAAATTAAGAAACAGGAAACAAATGTGGTCCCAGATTCTTGAATAAAGGTCATGATGTATCTACTCTCTTAGTCATCTGTGAACATGTGGAGGGCAGTAGCAGGAAATCACACAGTGAAGCTTCAGATCCATTGTCTAAGGCACTGTTAATCCTGTTGAAGGGGCTGCTGTATCAAGGGCTATTCACATCTCTCTCTGGCTTCCAAGTTGCCATTAGGTGGTGTCCACTGGCGGATGCAACTTCCCTTACGTCTTGTCTCATACAGACTCATGGTCTACCTGACCATGGGCTGAAATCTCCAGTCCAGAACCAAGCAAACCTTTCTGCCTTCTCATCTGATACCCTCCTATGTTTTAACACAGTTCTGGAAAGCTGATTCACATGTGTCATTTCTCTTTTCTGATATTCAATATGCAAGCATGTAATAACATATTAGTAATTACATGTTCTCCTATTCTGTCCATGAGTCAGTAAGAAAGTTCCAGAAACAGGACTTTCTGAAATGTACACCACTGAGCCATAGTTTAGGTGAACAGCTTAAATATGGGAAAAGTTCATTGCTTATTTACACAGAGATCATGACATTAAAGTTAGAAATGACCAACTCTGGGGGAGAAATAAGGATGTGGTGACAGTGTCAAACAACCATTTTATTAATAACAGGACTTAGGGAATTGTAATCTTTCTCTACAACTACTCAATAATAATAATAATAAAATATTTAAAAATACAAAAGTGAAAAAAGTAGAAATGACCTACCTTGATATATTCTATGGGCCACTCTATCAGATTCTCAAACAAAATCAGTTGTTGACCATGTGGCCGAGATGGAGTAAACTTGCCAACATTCACCCTTTGTCCAAGACCTTCTGGAAAATTCCAAAAGCTCACAATGTCATATTCTGCTTCCAATTTCTTTTGCTCATTCAAAACTACTTGTTCTCCGGCAGGATTGGTAAATTGGATCTTCTTCAAGAAGAGATGTAGCTAAAAGACACACATTACACTATGGCGAATTGCTTCCCAGAGTGAATGCAGAAACCCAGAATAATGTACTGGTGGTGATTTAGCTTTCCTTCCCCCATGCAACTAACACATACCACAGGAGTCCAATCAAATAGAGCTGATGTAGGTTTCTAAAACTTGGTGAATCGAGATAGAATGCAGAAACTGAATTTTAAGAGATTAAAACTTCAGCCACATCCACCTGAACAATGAATTACATTAAGACAGACCTCAACTGCCTTTTTCCAGCCAACAACAGCCACTCATTTTATAGATGTGATCAGAGAGTCAGTGTGAAAATAGATAAACAATGGACTAAAAACCTCTTAATAACTAAACATAAATATCCTATTTTTGTTTAGAATAGTTGTGACTACAGTGAATGATTACCTGAAGCAAGACTTAGTTTATTGCATGGCTGTGTGTGTGTGTGTGTGTGTGTGTGTGTGTGTATGGGGGGGTGGCACACAAATACCTGTTCTGGGGTTAAACACAGGGCCTGGCCACTTGCCTTCAGTTTTGTTTTATTTGTTTCTCAAGACTAGCATTTTTCTACTTGAGCCACAGCTCCATTTTTGGGTTTTGGTTGTTAATTGGAGATAAGCATCTCACATACTTTTTTGCTTGGATCAGCTTTCAACTGAAATCTACAGATCCCAGTCTCCTAAGTAGCCGGAAGTAAGCCACAGGTGTGAGCTATTTGCGGCCAGAAAAATCTTAGGGTTCCTGGTACTAGTCAACAATGTACTGTTATTTTAAACAGTTCCAAGAAAAACTTGGATTTATTCTGTCAAAAAGACCAGGGCTTTTTCCACAGGAAGTGAGGGAAAGAAAATAGCATTTCCTTATCAGGGATGCTGTGTTCTCCAAGAACATTGTCACAAAGCTCTACAGTCACTTCATGGAGAGTACAACAGGCCCAGTGTCTCTTGTTCTTTCCCCAAAGGAGCCAGACTACTTGGTTCCAACAACTAGGAAAGCTTGTAGAAAGTTATACCGGGAGCAGTCACCCAACAGAAAAGTCATTACCTGTGAAGACAGAATTGCCTTTGGTTGCTCATTGTGTGCTGGTGGCTCTTCTGTTTGATAAAAAAGCATCTCGTGGAGGGCATGGGCCACAGCATACACGGCGTTGTAGATGTTGTGACTCTCTTCTGACAAGGACATGTCAAAAATGTGCCCCAGCAACCAGTTATGAACAGTGCCCCAATTTTGTACAGTCAGATTTTATCAGTATGCAACGAATAGACTGAATCCATAACCTAGCAAGAGAAATATCTTCTGAGTTCTTGGAAAAGTTAGCTCTTGGGATAAAATTGGTGAACCCAGAATTGTTTCTATGGTGAGAGAAGATGAGAGGTGCATGGAAGGAATCTATCAGGAAATAGGTTTTACTGATGGTCACATCATCATAAGGTGAGTTCATGACCCAGACTTTCCCTGTAATTAAAAAATGCCCTAATTTAAGAATAAAGCTTAGTAGAAAATCACTGTCTCCATAAATGATAATCACATTGGTTGATGATTCCATAATATGGTGATACACTGATGGATCACTTGAGAAATCAGAGACTGCATTGGTCTGGATTGTGTTCTCAAAAGCAAAACAGACTCCATTCCTGCCCATCTCCTCTCTCAATTCTGAGAGGAACCACACACCATAGTCGTCTTCGGTGATGAACAGTCCCACCCAGGTCCAGCTGAAATGAACCATCAAGGAGACCATGGCTAGGGCTAAAGATGAGTCCTTGGCAGCCATCTGATAGATAGCATCAAACTGTCTATGGTCACCCAGGAGAGGATCAAAAGACCCAAAGGTGAACTAAAGGGAGAAAAATGAACACAGCACCAGGAAGAGGATGGTCATTGTCAAAGACTTAGTCCTGATATGAACAACAACAACAACAACAAAAGCTGGCTGTGGGGAAGGGGAGTGAAGTTTTGCTTATCCCATTTGTAAAGTCATCTCCCACTATCTAAATTGTAGAAATGTACAGTCACTTCACAAAGACAATGAGGATGCCCCACCCAACTTTGTTATCTTTCCTGGAGATCATTCATTTTGAGAGGTTCAGGATATAGCTTATTCTTTCTCTCTTCTTCATCCTGTGGAGGGCAGAGTCCATGTAGGCATGGCTTCACATCTCCCCACCCCTCCCAGACTCACCTGTGGAAGTTTGTAGAGGTCCAGCAGTGTCCTGATTGGGACAGATGTGCTTGACGATCCTGTCAGTACTGCTAAAGCTTTGCTGTCTCTTCTGCAGGTGTAATTGGGGCTGTTTTTATCCTTCCCAGACAGCCAGGTGAGTGGATTCTCTAGCACATCAGTTTCTACATAATGTGCAATATAGATCTCAAACCCCAGAGTCATGTTGGGTAAAAGCTGGGGATTCTTGTTGATCTCTTCAACAGCAAGTGTCAGGGACAGGACCAACTGGTATTTCTTTAAGTTGATCCTGCACAAAACCACAGAATTTTGGGGGAGCTATACCTGTATTAGAAATGATTAAGTTCAAATCTCATGACTTTGTTGAATGGAATGCTGATCTCTACACAAAGTCATATGTTAAGACCCTCCTTCAAGAAGGATGAAGTTAGAACATGGAGTCCTAGGAATGTAATTAGAATAGGGAGAGATCTTGCAACAGGCCAACATACTCTAGACTGCTGCTCTTCTGCGATCACAGAGAGAGGGAGAGCTGGCTTTTGCTTTCTGCCATGGGAGGAGACATGAGAAACCATGCTGTCTGGGAGATGGGAACACGCCCAGCTCACATACCAAGTCATTGGATCTGCATACAAAGAAATTCTTCAGAAATATGATTCAAATTGAGAGTAGTGCACCTGAGCTCAAGGTATTTTGCCTAGGGGCAGGGCCTACTGCCATAGCAACAAATAGCAAAGCAAGTTGCCTGCTCTGTGTCCTCACTTGCCAGGTTTGGGCTGATGGCCCACCCTTCTGTGCAGAAGTAAATTTTTCCTTGTGAGATAATTAAAAAAATATAATTCAGGTCATGTGAGTACAGGCAAACTGAGCTAAGATAAAGAACATCAACATTCAAGGTGATCAGCCAGAAGCAGACAAGATGGCAGCCAAGGAAGATTGAACCAGCAAGTCCTGCATCACTCCCCAAAGAACAGATGATAAATTCAGGGAGTGTGGACCCGAGGACCTCCTCTATTAGAGCAAAAGAATAGAGAAGGATTGCGGGCAAAGGAGAAAGTAAGCCATCTCCATGTTCCTCCCCTCCACTAGCGTTAGCAGCTTAGCACAAACAGAGACCCCTCCCACATTGCAAGGAGGGAGATAATAAAAGTTAAATCAAAGCAGCATATCCATGTACAGAATGCAGTGCTGGAGAAATGTCCTGTAGTCTCTACTCCTGGGTCTACACCTTTAGATTGTGCCTGTAGAACTGTGTCAGTACACAACCTCCCTCCCACAATCTCATGAATGGCAGCAAGTATTTGGACACAACTTCATGGGAAGCAGGGCATGGGAGCTGTGTCAGAGTTTTTCTTAGAATCTCATGTCAGGCATGCCATGGCTAGAGCAATAATCCAGAAGAACCCATAGGTGCTGTGTGGTTCCAGGACCAAAGCTCCCAGTAGAATCTTTCAGGAGATGTCAGTAGATCCCTCAGATAGGACCAAAGGCCATCTACATCAGTTTCCACCAGGCATGTAGTATAGTGTCAGCTGTCCTACCTGGCTCAGCCCCAGCTTGGTGGAAAGTGGATCATCTCCACCTTTAATCCCCAACCTCAGAGACCACTTCCTGTAGAAGGACAGTGCTCAAGATGGAACCAGGCAGAGACCTATGCAGCTAGCTCTAGGTCATGATTGTGTTTTGGTCTACAGCACCACAAGCTGGGGGCGTGGGCCTCAGTGGACTCATGTGACAGGTTGGGTTCACTCACGAGGAGACTGAACCTGGATGCAGGGTGGTGTCCACCAAGATGGCCCAATGGCTTCCTCTACAAACCTTAATGAGCTGCTGTGACACCGCATGGCTCTCCATCCCATTACTTTTCTGTTCTTTGTGCCAATTTTGGGACTTAAAATCAGGGCCTGAGCACTGTCCCTAAAGTTCTTTTGTGTAAGGTTAGTACTCTACGCCACAGTGCCACTTTTGCCATTTTCTTTTATGTGGCACTGGGGAATCGAAACAAGTGCTTCGTGCATGCTAAGCCAACACTTTACCACTAAGCCACCTTCCCAGCCCTCCATCCCACTTCTTTTGAGCTTGTCAGTAAGATGGTGATTTTCTTCCAAAGCTTAGTGTGTGCTGCTTGATAGCACTGGAAGGTTGCTATGACACCCCCATCCAGGACAGCCTCTGGGGGAGTTCTGGAATAACCCTAGTCCTTTAGAAAGACATCTGCCATCAGATAATCAGATTTCTATTTCAGCTATCACTGACTGTGCCTGGCTGTGGCAGTCTTTGTTCTTGAGCACACCCCCACCACATACAGGTTGCAGGCCTTGGTCCTCAACTATCACTGTGCTGGTCTGTTTGCAATGGACTGAGGATGTCCTACTGATGCAGGGTAGACCAGTGAAAACAAGGCATGTTTAATGCATGCCAGGAATTCAAAAACTCAAGCTTAAAGCGTGTCCATCTACTTCCCTTAAGATTAAGTGAAGACAAGTTGTTTGGGAGAAGAATGAAGCAGGGAAGCCTAAGGGAAAATGAGGTATGGTAATATTTCAGCAAATACAGAAATATTCATTCATCTACTTCCCTTTAGAATAAGGGACCAAAGTCATTCAGGGGGACATGAAACAGGATACATTGAGGAAAATCAAACCTGGTGAAATCAGTTCAGAAACACAGTGTATAGAAACACAGAAGCACTATCTTTGTTTCAAAGAGAGACAATAGGATGCATACATTGCTGGGAGACCCACTTCTCACCCTAAGTACGAATATTTGTCTGGCAGGATGTATGGCTTCCTGAGATAGTGCTTCCCCCAAATGTAAGCAGCCACCTACCCTAAAATGAAGAGAACAGGACACATTCTTCATCCCAAGGATAAGCTTTTATTTTATGAAGGTTGCATTCTTATCTGATAACAATGCCCAAGATATCCAGAAACTCAGAAAGGGTAACACCAGGAGTGACTAGCAAACATAAAACACCTACCTTTGTATCACTTTAAAGGCAGACCCCTTCCTTTGACCCTGTAAATAGCCCTGGCAGCCAGATAGCTGTGTGTCTCTCTTTTAGCACACCCACACTCTAATAGGAGGTATATCTGCTTTCTGTTTCCTTGTTTCCCTGCTTGTTTGCTTCCTTACTCAGTAAAGCCCTGCCATTTTTTCTTACCATTGTGATTTATCTAGAATTTCTTCTTCTGAAATCAAAGTCAAGGATCCCAAGTGAAGAGTCCCTACCTTTAGAGGGAAATTTCATTAACCTTCATCTGTTTTGGTGACCTTGCTGGTTGGTATTCCAGGTGTAATAGAGTTCTGGCGGCTACAGCTGTGACTAAGGCCTGTTCTGGCACAGAGATCTTGCCACTGCCGGGCAGAATCCACTCACAGGGCCATTAACTGTGGATGAGGCATATGGGATCCCTGTGGCCCCAGAAGGAGGTATATTGTGACCCACCACTCACTGGGGTTCTCCCTGAGGTTTTTAGAACCACAGAGTATTTGTCACCCAACTTCGTTTGGTTTTCCTGGTACTGAAGTGGTTTATCACTTACCAGCTGACTTCTCTCAAGACCTTTGCTCCCTCTAGTGGTGCCATTGTGGAAGTCACTACAGGCTCAGGAACACTGAAGCCTGCCTGGAATTTCTGGAAAGACAGGCACAAAGCCAGACCAAGCCGACTGGTGTAATTCAGAGACATTTCAAAGGCCAGATGGTATCACATGCCAATATGAATCAAGAATGTCCCACAACTATGAATTCTCCTAGGATTCAATATAATCATTTTGGGGAAATTCATATAGAAAAAAGCACATGCACACATGGGGATGCACGTGCCTGGTGCCCACACAGAGAGCTCAATTAGAGAATGGACAGAGCAGAAGAAATCTCTGACATCTCCCATCTCCCATCTCCCATGGGGGTACATTTCTAAAGCTGTGTTTACACATGATCCCCATCAATCTCACTCACTTCCTCACCACGTTCAGTTGGCTTCAATATCCCTCACAAATCTCTCATGGAAGAAAGTATTCTTCTCCTGAACAAAGCCCATACAGGATGTTTCAGCACAAATTGTCTGAGAAAATTCCTCTGTGACTTCTCTAGTTTACAGGGAATTCTGTAGATCTGAAAGTAGTGAGCTCACCTGGGTCAAATGCATGAAAGAAAGTGTGTATAAAACATATAAAAAAGTTCAAATCCAGTTCATGAATTTATAAGTAGGGGAAAAGTAGGAAAGACTGGAAAAATGTTTGAGAACAAGGAATAGAAGAAGAGCTTCTGGGAATGACATAGGGGATAGCCTGAGACATGGACAGCAGGACAGAGGCTCACATACATAAGTTAAGGGGAAAAAATCAAATGTGTCATGAATCTCTAATTCCAGATCAGACCAGCAGCTCCCCATTCCCAGAGCTTTGCTGACATGAAATAACCCCAGAAGCAGAAACTGCATGTCTATCCTAGGAAATGTTGCCCTGAAGGAGGTCCAAACATTGGTCCTGTTTTGAAAAGTATAAAAAAACAGAATTGATTGAAGATTCCCTGGCCTATGACCTTTGGATGGGGACATTGAGTGTTAGTATGGACTCTTGGTCACCTCATTGACCCTGAGCCAGGACAGATCAGGCTAGAGGAGTCACAGTGATTGTGGGGAGGTCAGGACAGCCCTGGGAAAGGGGAGTGGAATGAAAGACAGACAGAGATCTCTCTGGAGAAAAGAAGAAAAATATTCATTAGGAAATCATGAAGTAAAATAGAGCTGCCGTGGTGACGGCAGTGTAGAAGATTCAGAGAATGTCAGTGGATGGAACCAAACTTCCCCTACCCCTGACTGTTAACCAAACAGAAAATGTAAATTTTAGGAAAACCCAATTAATCACTTACGGAAGGCTCTGTTGCTGCAGGGCAGGGTCATTCATGTTGCGAATGAATTCCCAAGAATAAAGGGGGAAAAACCCAGCAATCTCCACATCTCCCCTGCTGTGTGCCACAGATTTTTCTGTGTAAATGCATCTCACATCTTCAGAGGAATTGACCAAAAGTGGATGCTGAAGGAGAAGTAGTGTCAGAGCCACAGCGAACATTGCTGCTGCTTTGGCGTGGAGATAGGATTCTGGCTGCAGACTGAGCCTCCAGTGTCAGGTGGGTATCTAAATGGAGCACTAGTTTCTGTGACTTCTTGTTACCTGGATGGCCACTGGGATGCACCACTGGCCTCCTCCACTGTCCTAGAGGAATACAGAGCCCATCCTGCCCTCCAGCTCTGCATCTGGGGTCCAGGCTCAAGGTCAAAACACAAGTTGGAAAACATGTGTACCATCTTTCGCTCCACACCCTCAGGGCTGTGATTTCATCCAAGACTGTAGATAGTAAAACTCCAGGGATGGATTCCTTTCTTGTTAAGTTGTTCACAAACTTGTGTGAAAGCAAAAAGTTGAAAAGAAAACAAGCACACAAAATGAAGGTTCATAAGAAAATCACTACAGATGAGACTAGAGGATGCCATGTGAAGGTCAATAAGTCGAAGAATGCCATGGCCAGAAAAGCCCAGTCAGAGTTATTGGAGCACAATGAAAGATCAGGATAGGCAGACTCACAAACCAGAGCCAAGGGAGCCACAGAAGTTTGGTGAAATGACCCATTAAGGTTTCCAAACCAACTGCACATGCACAAGCATCCAGAAGTGGTCAATGCACTTATTTATTGCTGCAGGAGTTACCAACAATCTCCCTGAATTCAAACATTACAGATCAATACTTCAAGGTCAAGGTATGCATCCGACTTTGCATTTGGAACCTTGAACTTCTTCAGTGCTTGCATGTCTTTGACCAGCAGAATGCATCTATCAGTACATTGTGACAATCCATGGTCTATGACTTTCTGGAAACATAGCAGGTCTGCCCTCTGAGGATCCTGGTAGCTGTGGGTATATGGATGGGTCTTGATCTGCTATGTATCCTTGTCATGTCCTGAGTGCTCTGGGAATTCTTGATCACACTTGGACAGCCGTGTGATGCCAGCTCTGTCCATGTTTCCCTACCTGTCTCCTCTATTCATTCCTCATACTAGAAGTGAAACCGAGGTCAAAGTGCAGGTTCCTGCTCTGCACAGAGTTCACCATGGTGGCTGGTTCTCTGATCTGGCTCCATATATTTATCAGGAAAAGCTTGGCAATAGTATGTTGGAAAAGTAAGGATGCAAATGCTACATGATACTGGTAGCCAGCAAGATCTTGCAAGAGGGTCAGTACTGGGGCCTAGCCTGACTTGGGTTCTGAGGTAGAAATTTTGTTCTTCCTATACCCAGGATTACAGGTATAGGCCACCCGTGGCTGGCTCAGAGGACAAACATTTATCCTTTCCATATCTCTATTTCTGTTCAGTGTGCCCAGGAGAACAACCCCTCCCCACTTCCTCTTCACCTGCCTGAAACCAGTAGTCACCTGTCAATCACCTGATTGTGAGTCAGCAAAGGACCCCACACTCTGAGGTCACTTCCTCATCTGCTGAGGTCACTTCCTGAACCACCCTGGTCACACTTCACTCCCATGAGTGGTTCCCTAGTATTTGAGGTCACTTCTGCATCCACTGTGGTCCTGGATCAGCACAAATCCCCTTCTCTCTCTTTCTATTCTTCTGTATTTCCTTTTCCTCTGTCTTCTCCATGTGCATCCAGCTACTGCGGGTGGGCAGTTTTTCTTTTTTGTCTGAACCATGTGTCACGTTTCCTTGCTGGCGAAGCTGACAATTTCTACTTCATTGTCATTGATATCTACTCTAAGACTTCTTCTGCCTACATTTCAAAAATGAGAAAAAATTTGGAGATCTGTGTTAGTTGATAATACATATATCCATCTGTCTGTCTGTCTGTATGTCTTTATTGTAAAGGTGATGTATAAAGGAGTTACCATTATCTAAGTCAGGTAATGAGTACATTTCTGTTTTTACAATGTTACCCAATTTTTCCCTCCCTGCCCCACCCACAGGTTGTATGCTTCATTTTTCCCATGGTGTCCAGTATATACCACTGCTTCCCAGCCTCCTCCCTCCCCCTCCAATCCCAATCCTTCTCCTTCCCCCCTTCCCCCCCCCTCGCACCCGATGTTGTAAAGCTCGTTTTGGACATGACAACTTGTACTTCTCATTGTTGCAACAGGTCCACTTGTATCCTTAAACAACCGGTTTTTCCCCATCTCCTCCACAAGTTATACTGACATCAAATATAGTGAAAGCAGGGGTTATATTGTGGGGGAGGGACATACAGAGCAACAAAGAGATAATCTTATAAATGCGTTAGAACCACATGCATGAAAGAAAAAAACATTAAAATACATACCTAAGGGTTCATTATCCTGACATCACATTTTCTGACCTTTTCTGCTTGACTCATACATATACTAGATATTGCAAATAAGG